TTCCTTCGCGAAGGCACCCCTCTAGCTGTCAACCACACCGCCGCCTCCGGCTCCGATCCCGACCACAGCGGAGGCAACATGTGGAGACGGCAGCGTGGTTGACGACTAGAGGAGCGCCTTTGCGGAGGAAAGACAGAGAGTAGGGCGGAGAGTGAGCGAGAAGTTTAGCCGTGTGGAGAGAAGTTTTCTCAGGAGGAAGGGAGAGAGAGATGTCGTGACGATGAGTGAGAGAATGCGAGCAGCAATGGCGTTAACGGAGCAAGGGAGACGGGAGAGTCAGAGACTTTTCAGAAATCTGACTGGTGGGCCCGCTTCGCCAAGTGTCAACCCATGGATGATTTGCTGCATTGGCTACGTGGAGTATTAAATTCAGCCAATATTTTCTCATGACGTGGCGCTTAGCAACCACCGAATACTTTCTCGCAGTAGAGGGAAGGTGGAGAGAGATAACGGAGAAGAGAGGGGGACGAAGGGGAGAGAGTAAAAGGAGAAAATATTGGGTACCTCTTGTGATTTCACGTCAGCAAAATACAAGTCCATTTATCACGCGACACAAGTCGCTTATGGGCCCACCTGTCAAATCTCTCCCTCCCTCCTTCTGTCTCTCTCCTCTCTCCTCTCTCCCCTGCTTCCCGACGCCGCACGCTTTCTGCACATTTGTTTTCGTTTCTTTCGTTTTGGCCTGTGGCCGGTACACGGCCATGGCCGCGCGACCGGCCACAGGCGAGGGTGTCGCAGCCCTCGCCGGCCTCAGGCAAGGGTCTCTTTCCCTGATTCAGCGAGGGTCGCCCTTGCGGCCTTTGGCTTGTGGCCGGGACACGGCCATGGCCGGCGACCGGCCACAAGCGAGGGTGCTGCGGCCCTCGCCGGCCCTCGCTTTCCCCAATTCCGTGAGGGCTTGACTCTCACTGCCAAGGTGAGGGTTGCCCTCGCGGCATTTGGCGAGGGCTGGACGCTCACTGTTTTGGCGAGGGTTCGCTAGATCCGAAAACTTTGGAGGAGGCGATGACATTGGAGCCGCAAGGGACCTCGAGGATGCAGGGGATGTGGGAGGGCTCAGGGTCGCGGGTGATGACGACAGGGGCTTTGGCATGTTCTTGGACCCAGGGGGCGGCGTCCACGAAGTCGCCGTCGCAGCAGCCGTCATTGGGAGCGCCGTTGTGGGAAGCCAGGAGGTCGTCGGAGAATATGAGAGGCAGACGAAGGTTGAGCGAGAGTTGTAGAAAGAGAGAACGAAAGGGGCAAGAAACGGTGAAGAAGATGAGAAACATAGGAGAAAGACAACGGGAGAGGACTAGGATCTGACACTATGGGTCCCCTTGGACATGTGTCGCGACCTCAGGGCTAGAATTTTTCCACGGTTGAATCACAAGAGGTATCAAATATTTTCTCAAGTAAAAGTGAGAAGTGGGCCCTACTATAGATACATGGCGATCAATAAATGGAGTGATGGATTGCTGACATGAAGTGACAGGTCTATGCAATATTTTTTCCATTCTTATGGTTTCCAAATACTGTAGAATCCTCTTTTACACGGTCTTGTCACTTCCAATTCACAGAAAAGCCCTTCCATGCCCAAGTCTTCTCTTCTTTCTTTCCAGCTCACAGCATTCAAATATTTGAGGTAAAGCATAGTATTCGTTCTGCGAGAAGACGGAATCATTCTCTGGAAAAAAAAAAAGCAAGATGAAATCATTTTTGAAAAAAAAAAAAAAAAGAAAGATGAAGAAGGACTTCAAATTAGAGAGAGAGTTTCAGGTACTAAAATTGCTGCTAAGATACAAACTATTCTTGCACGTCTCAAAAAGTACATGTTTCAGCTTTCACTAACCAACATGCTTTTGTCACTGGCCGACAGAACTTAACCACGGAATAGCCCATGCGGCGCCTAGCGAGTCGAGATGACATCAGGTCAGTCTTCCTTCTATAGTTATTCCAGAGAACAATTTGGTGAATAGCATCCTCGTATTGAGATTGTACCACGACCAGCTTACCTCGGGTATACAGTCCTTCGAGCGATACACACATAACACTTTAGGCACAACAATTCATTTTGACTTGCTATGACATCATCAAAAGAGTAGCATTAGCTAGCTCCCAACTAGTTTGTACGCGGGAGACCAACCCTCCCTCCCTTCCCCCTCCTCCCCTCCCCTCCCCTCCTCCCCCTCTTCAAAGCTCCTAATAGTTATAAACATTCTATCCTAGAACTCCTAACACAAACGCCATGATGCCACTCCTACCAACTAGTTGTATCATCACTTCTGCATCATTCCCTCTTCACCCCGACGCCATAGAGCTCTACTCACGAGGGTACTTGAGTACAAGAGAATTCGGTCCATGACATTTTCCACCACTCAATTCCGCAACGCCCACGTTGCGGGCTGCTCTATCGCTTCCTTGTATTCCTCAACCATCAACGCCACTACCCCAGGATTTACATGAATGGCAATGCTCGCCCAATAGAAAATGCCACTACACTCCACTTATTGCTTCCCTCGATCAAAATTGTTTGCGAATCTCAAGTCACTTGTGCTTCCTGACGAGTGTTGCACCCCTAGCCAACTGCACTCCGTCGGCAGCACATTCTCTCGCCTATTGGGCTTCTCTTGATCTCTTGTTGGAAACGCGATAACATACCTCCTCTTGAGATTCGCTAATTAATTAAGGAACGTTTTCCCTATTCAGTGAGCAATTCGGTTCCTTCTAGTGCCCCCATTGCCATCCTAGAAGCTAAATGAGAGTCGAACATTGTCTGAGCTCTCTTGGCCCCGACGATCACTCTCCACCCTCATAGGACCAGGTAGACCACAGGATTTCCCTAAATCACCCATCTACTGGAGGGATCCTACTCTGATACCATTTGTCACGAGCCAACAAATCTTGGCTGCGAAATAGCCTGTGTGATGCCCAGCGAGTTGAGATGACACCGGGTCAGCCTTCCTTCTATAGTTGTTCTAGAGAAAAGTATAGCAAATAGAATCCTCATATCAGATCATACCACGGTTAGTTTAGCTCGGACATCAAATCTCTCGAGCGAGATACACAAAACACTTTAGGCACAACAACTGGTTTCGGTTTGCCATGGCCTCATCATGAAATCGACATCAGCTCCCGACCAGTTTGTGCACAAGAGGCCAACCCCGCCTTCAGAGCTCCTAATAGTTATAATCGTTATATCCTAGAACTCCTAGCACAAATGCCCTGATGCTGCTTCTATAAATCAGTTGTATTATCACTTCTGCATTACTCTCCCTTCACCCTGACGCCACATAGCTCTACTCACAAGGGTACTTGAATACGGGAGAATTTGGTCCATGACACTTTCATATGACTAGAGCTTAATTCTCTCACGGTTATGTTCATTGTTCAATCTCATTTGGTTACCATTTGTTATCAATGGAACAATGTAGTGGAACCGCTAAAACTGGATGTTTTGATTGTGATGATTATTGAACAAGTCAAATTGATTTACCGCTTAAAATAAAGAACAAATCAGATAATTTAAAATTTGATTGTACAAACTTGACAAGTTTTAGAACTTGATTGCCCTTTTTAAAAGCTATATGATTTAATTGCAGTTTCGACAAGTTTTATGACTTGATCGCACTTTTTGAAAATTTTAGGACTTCTCGTGCACTTATTCCTTTAATTTATACGATACTTATAAAAGGCCTCTTCATTTTGCCAATCAAGAATAACTTGAAAGGGCGGATAACATGGGTGGACCCTAAACATCTTTTCAAAATTCAATATGGTTCCTGAACTTGTTTTTGTTCAATTTAATTCCCGAAATTTTAAAAGTTCATTCCATAGTCATTCAATTAAGCGTATTGCTATAGTATGTGCATTTTTATGACGTGAAGTATTGCATCAACGTATAATGTGAACTATCACACCATTCTCTTAAGGCTCCGTTCGTTTGGTGGAAAATATGACATTTCTAGAAAATATTTTTTGGAAAGTCATTTTCTAGGAAAATGACATAATTTTATGATGTTCGGCTGAAATCTGAAAAAGTCTCGAAAAACATTTTTCGTTGTTCGATATGGAAAAGAATTTTCCCTTTGCAGTACTTTTAATATTTTTTAAAAATATATTTAATTTTCTTTTTTTTCTTTTTTTTCTTTTTCCTTCTTCTTCTTCTCCGGCAGGTCGCCGGCCACGGCCACGGCCGGCAACCGACCATAGGCGAGCTCGAGCCTTGCCACAGGCCAGCGAGGCAAGGCTCGACCTCGGGCCTCGTCGGCCTGTGGCGAGGCTCGAGCTCGCCTGTGGCCGATCGCCAACCACCTCCATGGCCAACAACCGGCCGGAGAAGAAGATAAAAAAGAGAAAGAAGAAGAAAAAAGAAAACGAAAAAAGAAAAAAGATAATGAATGAAGCAAGAAGGTGGGGGAAAATATTTTCTTCTTTTGAAAAGAGGAAAACATTTTCCTTACTTTTGTTCATGTTTTCACTCATTGAGGGAAAATGTTTTTCGGGGGTAATTTATTTTCTGCCCCCGAACACTAGAAAACTCGGAAAATATTTTCCTAAAAAATATTTTTCGTGAAACGAACGGAGCTTAAGTTAGCAAACATTTTTTCCCCATTTTTTTTTCCTTTCCTTTTGGGCCTAGAGAGATGATGTGAAAACCATATGTTTGCCATGTGGGTATCAGTATGACAAATTTGTAGATAACGTAAATTATGGTCATGTCAGATAATAGTGTTAGAATTTTTAATGGAAGGACTGTATTAAATGGATGTTTTTAAAGTTCTGAGACTAAATTAAACAACTATTTTTTTAGGATCACATTGAAGCAGAAGAAAAAAAGTTAGGGATCCTCCATATCATTGTTCCAATTCCAAAAGATCAATGGAGAAAATGTTGAAAATAATACCATGTAAGGTGAGATTTTTGTAGTATATATTCTCCCTCAACCCACATAGTTCGCCCTCCGGTCGTTTCATGACTAGGGTTTCTTCTCCAAACAGAGAGAGAACCGGAAGGTTTCCGGGGAAAAACCAGAGTCGCCGACCGAGCGCGACGTCCACCAGTTTCGGACACTTCTTTGCTCGAGGGGATGATGACCGCCGACGGCACGAGGTCCGGAGAAGGTCGGAGCTCTCGGGGGTCGACAGAGCATGAGTAGGACGTGTTCTTGAGCTTCAGAGGTTCGGATACTCGGAAGGACATCGCAGATCAAGAGCACCCGATGGGCAGCCAGTTCGGCTCGCAGCTTCTGGACGGGATCGCGCGGTCCAAGATTTCAATCCCCATCCTATCTGAGAGCTACGCTTCCAGCGAATGGTGCCTCTGCGAGCTCGTTCAGATGGTGGAGAACAGGAAGAGCAGGGGACACGTGACGGGGAGGTTGGGGGAGGCCTTCCATTCACACAAGATTTGCTTTGAGCAAAGGGATATGGAGGCAGGGCAACAGGCGCTCAGAGGTGTCAGCTTCTTGAAAGGATGGGAGTCAGAGAAAATGGCTAATGGGTATGTAATTTCATCTCCATCTGAACTTGTTGACTTTCTTTCAATGAGATCGTGCTGCTGTATTCCTAAATTCCTCATTGGTAGAATCGAAATGTAGTTTGTTTATAATCCTTTTTAATATGTTGCTAATATGGCTGGTGGAATCAATTAATTTCTGGTGTGTTGTTTGTTTGATAGGCACCAAGGAGAATTTGTTAGAATAGTTGTTGAAACGGTACTGAGTGAGTTACGGCAAGGTTTTCGGGTAGATGTTCCTGAGACATTGTTTGGAATTGATGATCATGTCAAGAAGATTATCGGATTGCTGGACACTACTTCCAACTGTACCCGAAATTGGAATTTACGGCATGGGCGGCATTGGCAAAGCCACCTTCACCTTCGGAGAATTTTTGCATTGCAGGTAATGGTCTTTCCAATATTAGGTCCCATACTGTCTGAAAATCATTATTCATCGAGCAGCTGGCTTTGATGGTTGAGGATAAGAACACAAATATGTTGCCCATTTTGCCTCTGATGTGCAAAACGTATCTCATACGTGCTCCAACATGTATTGTGTGTATAATCCAATAAGAAAATATGATAAGTTATGACACTAGAACGTGGATATCAACAAATTTTTCTCAAAATTGCTGGTTTTTTCATCGGCATGAATAGCAAATTTGCCAGAGGACGGTGGGGTTTATCCAGTTTGGTAATTGAAGGTGAATAAAGGATATAATCAACTAAGAGATCTGGATGTTGAAGGTGAATAAAGGATAATTAAGAGATCTCGGTAAGGGTGTTGTGCCTCTAGAAGTAGGGGTGTCAAAACCGAACCATTATTTTTGGTTCGGTTCGGGTAACGAAAAAATAACTTTTTTCTACCGGTTCGGTTTGATTCATAACCCGAACTGAAACCGCCAAAACATAATAACCCATGCTTGCTCCACTTAGTTGCTCACGGCTTCTCTAAAATCTCAAACCCTAAATTGAGAAGCACTTCTCATTAGCGATTCAAATCGCTCCTCATCTCCTTCGAATCAATTCCTCCGATTCGCTCTTTAATCTGCTCTGACCCCGTCTTTTCCTCCTTGTGCCAGCACCCGGTAATTGATTTTGCTCTCTCTGTGCTTAGGTTTTTCATGCGTAGCTCGTGAGTCTTTGATCCTCAAACTTTTCATCTCTCGATTTTGTGTGCTGATCTCTTGTCGTTAGCTTTTCCTGGTGCAATTCATGGTGTACAACGGCTGTCTGTTTAGGGCACACAACCTGTACAAATCTTGCTCGATTGAGCAGAACTGAGAGAATGAGACTTCACAAGTGTCTGATGAGAACTTGTTTAGTATGCTGATTGAGGTTAAGCTGAGCTGCGGGATTTCATTTTCAAAAGGCCTATGATGTGGTTTGCTGCGAGTTGTTGCAAATAGTTGGTGTTTTGTCTCGTTGAGCAGTTTAGTGGCCCACTAGTTTATCTGGTTATCATTTCTGGGTGGCATCACAAGCACAACCTTAGTTTTATCATAGGCACTAGGTGATGGGTTTACCCCAGGCGGTTATATATTATGGATTGGGAGGATGGCCTACAAGTAAAAGATAGCTTGTCGACCCAAGAGAATGAGGGGACACCATGGCATTTCATTCAATTTATTTCCTCTTTTGAATGCTATTCTTGACTCCATACTATAATCTTTCTGTTTTTTCTATGCTATACTATTCGTTAGCTCTTTGGTAGAGTTTCTCTATATGCTCCGTGGCATTTAATTTAGGGCTTGAAGATGATTTTATTCTGGTTTTTGCTTTTACATCATGAATTGTGACTCTATTTGATATTGCATCATGTGTATGTAGATGAAAAATGTTCTGACACTATATTTTATTGTAATAATATTTTCAAGTTCTAATTGTCATAGATAGAATGATTGATAGATGTCTTCAAAATTTGAGTTACATGTGTCTCATTGCTTATTTTGTAGGCGCTAACCGGAAGTTGCAAAAGAAAAATGTGAATTTTTGTCAAATCCTGGGACATTCTGCTGAGATTATAGGAAAAGCGGTTGAGAAATGCTTTAGTGGTTGGGGGATTAAAAGCATTTTTTCCATCACCGTGGATAATGCGAGGTCAAATGACTTGGGAGTTCAATACTTGAAAAAAAGACTTAACTCTCGGTAATCTTTTGTATTGATAGGTGAGTTACTCTATGTGAGATGTTGTGCTCATATATTGAGTTTGATTGTAAGAGAGGGGTCGAAGGATATGATGATTTCATTGTTAGAATATGCTTGGTTGTGTGTTATGTGAGGCCTTCATGCAACAGTTTAAGAGGTGCATTGAGCTAAAAAATATTGAGTTCAAGAGTCTTGTATGTTTGGATTTCGAGATTCGTCGGAACTCGACATACATGATGTTGGAAGCCGGTTTGAAGCTTCAAAAGGCTTTTACGTTATTATATATTCAGGATAGTAAATTTGTTGAAGAGCTTTCCAAGGCGAAAGTTTTGCCTACTAGTGATGATTGGGAAAATGCCCATTGATTTCTTCTTTTCCGGAAGCTATTCTACGTTACGACTTTAAAAGTATCGGGTTCTTCCTATGTCACTAGTAGTGATATGGCGAAGATGTCTATGGGGTACATATGATGATTGACAAATATTATGAGAATGAGGACAAGCGTTTGCAGGAAATGGCTAAGAGAATGAAGATCAAATTTAATAAGTATTTTGGCAATGTGAACAATATCAATCTAACTTTGTTCATTGCTTGCATACTTGACCCTCGACATAAGTTGGAATACGTGAAATAAATGATTAATGATGTTTATAAGTAAGTGGCCGGAAACTTTACGAGATAAAGTACGTCTTTGATGTTATTGTTTGAGCAATATCGCAACCTCCAAAGCAACTTGAGGTTAAAGGGTACAAGGGCAATGAGCGTGTCAAAGTCTCGTGGTTAGTGCAGACATTACGTCTACAAAGTATCTTAGCTCAACGGAACAACAATATTTGGAAGAAAATTTTGAATTAGATAAGTATTTGGAGGAAGGATGTGAACGCTATAGCCCCAACTTTGATATCTTGAATTGGTGGAAAGTCAATTCTTCGAGATATCCTAACCTCTCTTCTATTGCTCGAGATATTTTGGCTTTGCCTGTCTCAGCCGTAGCATTAGAGGTTGCTTTTAGCACAGGAGGCCGTGTACTTGATGTGTTTCGTAGACCCCAAGCATAGTGGAGGCTTTTATATGTGCTCAAGATTGGCTACAATCTGCACCACTTTCACTTTCGATTGAGAAGGTCTTGGAAGAAGTTGAAATTTTTTAGTCAGGTGAGAAAACATTACCGTGGAATATTTTATACCCTTCGATATTACAATGGATACTTCAATTCTCATTTTCATTGTGAATTTATTGCAGAGTTGTCAACTACAAACAAGGAGCCGAACTGAATATTGGTTTCTCTTGATGATTGACGAACTAGGAGATTTTGAGAGGGAATTTCAAGAATGATGGTAATTGTGTAGTTACCTAGTTATCCTTCATGTCTTTAACTTCTATTAATTTGGAGCATAGTCAGTCCTCTGTTTTGTCCATTTGTTGCTGTGACGGTGATGTATTTGTTCATAGTGGAGGGGATGGATAATGCACTAATGCTAGTCTTCAGTTTTGCTGTGCATGTATATTGGTTCTTCCATCAACATATTTGGTTTTCTACTTCAGTGTCTTGTGTCTCTGTCTGATTTCTTTCTTTTGACTTTTTTATATGTTTGTTTCACTTAGAATGCTGTTTACATTTTTGTTTTGGGGTCCTCCATTATCTTGATTCTATCCGTTAGCATTTGCACTAGTTCTCGGACGAAACGTTTGATATTGTTCTTGATAAAGGTGGATTGGATGCTTTAATGGAGCCAGAGAATGGGTATAAGCTGGGAGATCAATACTTATCAGAGGTGTTAATACAATTTCAATGGCGACAGACTTTTTCGTATACTTGTTCAGAACAGTTTTTCACATACTCAAGTGCCTCATTCCCCCGGAGCCCTCAACGCCTGCTTTTGTGAAATAATTTGTGCACAGTTTGTATTAATTCCTCATGAGTTGCGCAGGGTTACTAGGGATCAATACCTGAACACCGAAGAGTTTGTTGATACCGTGGCAGCTGAACTCAAGACAAGGCTTTCATGCAGGGGCAAAAGAAAACTCTCAGTGCTCTCTCTTTTCTTTAACTTTTCTGTTTTTTGGTTTTCTAATGTGAGGTGGGTCACGAGTAGGGGTGAGCAAATTGGAATTTGGTGTCTTTTTACTGTGAAGACTCCATACTGTGAGTAGTTAGAATGTAAGCCTGTGCAGTAGGGTTGGGATGAGGTTCTTGTCTAAATTTGGAGTAGGATTTTCCTTTCCTTGTGTGAAATTCAAGTCTATGATCTATCTACACTGAAACAATGTGGTCTATAAGAAATTTGGTAGTGTTGTGACAGTAACTGTGAGTTGGATGGGTTGTTCTTTGGCTGCGTCTTTTTTCGGCCAAACAAACTTCACGGAAATTTTTCTTTTCATTCAGCATTTAGGGAAATCTGTAAAAGCAGAAGGAAGTTTTTGTTACTTTTGCTCTGGGTGTCTGAACAGTTTGTAATTTTGAATGCTTTCGCCTGTAGTTTGATGTTGTGATAAGATTTTATTATTATGTTTTTTTGGGGTCAGAATTGTTATATGATATTCGAGGAACTTGTTCTTGTACCTATATCGATGCATCTAATTGCTTATTAGGACCCTTCAGCCTCTGCGTTTGAATCTACTTCTTAAAAAATCATTGCATGATTTGATACTCGAGTCTAATGGAATTACATATTCTTCTGCATATCATGACATCTAGAGATTCGTGGGAAAAATTGATAGCTGAGGATAACAATCATTGACAATATTTTTTTTTGTCTAGTATACTGAAAATTTTATTAACTCATACCACGTTTATGATATCATAAATTAAAATATCCGACATAGGTTTTGGGGACAAGCTAGCCAATTAGTAGGAAGTTCTTTTTTATTCTGGGCCTTTACCACCTAATATGCCAGCTTGTTTGACTCTCTTGAGTAGTAGGTCAGACACATAAAATCGAGACGGGCCGACTTTGCTTTGCATTCATCAGTCCGAGACCGATGGGCCTTGCTCATCGTTCAAGAGGGCTGTGCATGGCAACCATTCTGTGCCAAGAATCAGATTCTGGTCAGAAAATGATTCTTTTTTATTCTGTGACTAGGAACTGATTTTGAGCATTTAAAAGCGTTTGGTAACGGTCCAAAATTTCTATTCCTGAAATAGTAAAAGAACAGAAATGTGTTTGGTAACGACATAAAATTTCTTTTTATTAATAATATATTTATATATTTTAATATTTCTTTCTTTTCTTTTTTTCTTCTCCTCCTTGGCCATAGCCGGTAAAATATTTTTTAATTAATAATAATTTTATTAAAAATAATTTTTTTATTTTTTTTGCCATGGCCGGTAAAAAATTTCTTTATTAATAATATTTTTATTAAAAAATAAATTTTTTATTATTTTTGGCCATGCCCGGTAAATTTTTTTATTAATAATATTTTTTTTCTTTTTTTTGGCCATGGCCGGTAAAATATTTTTTTATTAAAATATTTTAATAAAAAATATTTTTATTGAAAATATTTTTTTATTTTTTTTGCCATGGCCTGATCGCCGGTCATAACCGGTAAAATATTTTTTTTATAAATATTTTTTTATTGAAAATATATTTTTTATTTTTTTTTACCATGGCCCGGTCGCCAGCCATAGCCGGTAAAATATTTTTTTTATTAATAATTCTTTTATTAAAATATTTTTATTGAAAATATTTTTTTCCTTTTTTTTGCCATGGCCTGGCCACCGTCCATGGTCGATAATTTTTTTTTATTAATAATATATTTTTTTTTCATGGCCTAGTCGCTGGCCATGGCTGGTAAAATAAATTTTTTTTTTGATGTCCGGTAAAATATTTTTTTTATTAATAACATTTTTTTATTAAAATATTTTAATCTCGCCAGATACGGCGAGGGTGGCCCTCGCGCCGGACATTAGAAGCTACATTAAAAATCAAGAAAAAGAAGAAGAAAAAAAAATTTGATTCTCATTTTTGTTCCCAGAATCAAGAAGCTACTTTTTTTTTTTATTCTTCATTCTATTCCAAAACTGATTCTGGGATCAATTTTTGGCAAAATTATGCCTGGGCACAAAAATTTTAACAAACGGATTTCTGTTCCCAAACTGATTCTGAGAACAAAAGAATAGAATCAAACACTATTTGGCAAGTTGCCAAACAAACCCGAGGCAGCTAACCAACAAAGTACAGTTACTTTGTACTTCCACAGTTACCACATGAATCTCATCTCGGTTGCATGCTTCCTCCACAAACGGAAGGCATTTGAGTAACGCTAGGGTTTCGATCGCCATGACTGATCTAGCAATAACTGAGATCGCAAAGCGTGAATAAGAACACACCTGTAATTGTGCACCACACTGGCGATAGCAGCATCCAGCGAGCGTTTCCTTTTTTAGCAATCAATGTTGATTTTGAGAGACTCCCTTGCTAGTGGCTACCAAGTACGAGGTAGTCAAATTTCTTGTTCTTTCTTTCTTTTCGTTCCAAGATTCCACCTCAAGAAACTTGTGCTAATTGTGATTGCGAGGTCTATTATCCTGCTTGGGTTTGGCCAGCGTGATTGCGAGGTCTATAACTTGTGCTAAATTGACCAAAGAATGCCCGCGATTTCCTCATTTGACAGCAGGTTTGTGTTTAATCCAAAGCATTGGGAGATCTCTATATGCCCAGATGAGTAATAGGGTGGCATAAAATTGCTGCTTTAGTTACAAGTTCACTATGTTGAAGAGATAATCGCTTTCTATTATTCAATCATAATAGGGTTATAATCACTTTCTATTATTCAATCATAATAGGGTTATTATATATATATATATATATATATATATATATTTTTGTGTGCGTGCGCACTTAACCCTACTAAAAACATGAATATCTGTACTACCCTTATTACTGACAATACTTTCCAACACTCCCCTTCAAGTTGAAATGTAGTTATCAAATAATCTCACCTTATTACATAACAAACTCATTCTATTCCTTTGTAGAGATTTAGTAACAAGTTGATCCTCTGTCTTTACGTGTTGAAGAATAATCTCCCCATTTTGAACTTTTTCTCACACAAAATGACAATCAACCTCAATATGCTTAGTTTGCTCATGGAAGACATAAATAGACGCAACATGAATAATGGATTGATTATCACAATATAACACTGGTGGATTTGACAGCGACATCCTAATATATGATAGAAACATCCTCAATCATAGTTATTCACCTGTCACATGTGCCACGGCTCAATATTCAGCTTTAGTGCTTGATCGGGAAAATACATATTGTTTCTTGCTCTTCCATGCTACTAAATTACCTTCAAGAAAAACACAATAGTCCGAAGTAGATCTCCTACCCATAGGGCATCCAACCCAATCGGCATCAAAGAAGCATGTAGTGTTTAGATGACGATAATTCTTAAACAAGTCTTTTATCTAGTGCTCCCTTCAAGTATTGGACAATTCGAAACACAGCATCCCAACGAGTAGTACGAGGAGAACTCATGAACTGGCCTATTACACTACCAGCAAAAGATATATCAGGTCTTGTGACGGTAAGATAATTTAACTTACCAACTAATCTCCGATACTTCGTTGGATTATGTAAAATTTTCCACGTTCTGCATCAAGTTTTACATTGGGATCGATAGGGGTATAGATTGGCTTTGCTCCAAGAAATCCAACCTCACCAAGTATGTCAAGTACATACTTTCGTTGCGATAAAGTTATACCGACATGTGAGAATGCTACTTCAATACCAAGAAAATATCGAAGACGTCTCTGACCTTTAGTATCAAATCTATATGCAGAATTTGCTTAAGTTTTTTTAATACCATCTGAATCACCGCCAATAATGATGATATCATCCACATATACAAGTAGAAGGATATAACCAGCTGAAAAGATAGAGCTGAAAATTGAATGATTTGCCTTGCACCGCTTTAATCCAAGTATGAGAATTGCATCACTAAATCTACCAAACCAAGCATGAGGATATTGTTTAAGTCCATGCAAAGCCTTGTGTAAACGACTTACCATGTTCTCCCTTGAGCAACAAACCTTGTGTAAACGACTTATCACATTCTCCCTTGAGCAATAAACCTAGGTGGTTGCTTCATGTAGACCTCCTCAGCCAAATCACTATGTAAAAAGGCATTTTTCACGTCCAGCTGATGAAGTAGCCAGCCAAATCGCGCAGCCAATGAAATAGATAACGAAGAGATGTAATTTTGGCCACCAAAGAGAAGGTGTCATCATAGTCGACACCAAAAGTCTGAGTATACCTCTTTGCAACCAACCGATGCATTCAATCGGTCAAGAGTGTCATCCGGGTGAACTTTAACAGTCAAAACCCAACAACAACCAATAGGTTTCTTTCTAGTAGGAAAGGAAGTAACCTGCCAAGTTCGGTTCTCAATTAGCACCCGCATTTCATCCTTCATGGCACAACGCCATCCTGGATGAGTAAGAGCTTCAACAATACTGCTAAGCACGAAAACAAAAGACAACAATGAGACAAAGGCAGAGAAGGTACGAGATAAATGATCATATAATAGAAAATTAGAAATAGGATGATGCGTACGAACACAAATTGAATTACCGGAATAAGGAGCATAATGATCAATAGTACGACCAACACAAGAGCATGTACCTTTTCGAAAAGTAATGGGATGATCAGAATCAAAGGTTGGTACTGTATCTAATGGGGACACAGATAAATCTGGTGCTGGTAAAAACTTTACTCTCATAGTAGGGACTGTACTGTGCCAATGATAGGTGCAGTCAGTAAACTGAAATCCTGTGGATGTAACTGGAGGAAATGAATGAAGTAGAAGAGTCGGTATAACACAACCATCACAAGATGCCATGGGAACCGCCAGAGAAGTAAAATGTGGTTGGTCTTCAAAGAACATCACATTTGCGGACACGAACATACGATGGCGAGTAGGGTTGTAACATTTGTAGCCCTTCTGACTCCGAGAGTATCCCACAAAGACTATCAGCACGAGGATCCAGCTTTTCAAGACCTAAAGTAAGACAATGTACATAACAGACACACCCAAAGACCCAAAGAGGTAAAGAAAAGAGAGGACGATTTGATGTAAAATAGAGATTGGTGTCTCCCCCTGAAGAATAGAAGTTGGAAGCCTATTAATTAAATAATACGCTATAAGAACAACATGGCCCCATAAATTTTTAGGTAAATGCATGTGAAACACGAGAAAATTGGCAACATCAAGAAGATGGTGATTTTTACTTTCGGCTATGCCATTTTGCCGTGGGGTGTATGAGCAGGAAGTCTGATGAATAATACTATGAGCATCA